CTCAGGTCTGGCTCAGCACATAGCTAACTGTGCCTTCTGTGAGGGCTTCCTCGGCTCTGCTGAAGACCATGACACTGGCCTGGGGGACACACTGAACCCCTGGGAAAACTCAGAGGGCAAAGGTCGCATGGCGTGGTGTAGAGTGGACCCCTCTCCCATCTGAGGCCTGTTTGTGCCGGGCCTGTGTTGTGCTGGGAGCAGCCCTCTGTAGGACAGGCTCTGGCCGCGTCTTAGTGGGAGTGCCAGATAGGCCCCTGAAGGCTAGCTCTAGACAGAACTCAGAGGCAAACCTGGCTTTGAAAAGACAGATATAAACGCAATGCTGGGCCTCAAGGAGGCTGGGGGGCTCAGTGGTTGGGAGCCCGGGTTTCAGACTCAACCACACCTGGGCCTGAATCACAGCCATGCTGCTTCTGGGCACAGGACTCTGCCTCTCTGAGCTTCTGCTTCCTTGTCTGTGACTTCAGGACTAAATGAGATGGCACAGAAAGTGGGCACATGGCGCATTTCAGCAAATGCTCACTGACCCCATCACAGTGTCACTCTACCAAACTCCATTTCCACCGGGCACTGCCCTCAGCGCTCTGCGCGTTCTGGCCATCCCCGTGCCCTGCTCAGATGCTCAGATGCCAGCTCTCTCTGGCACGCTGTGAAGGACTCTCCAGCATGGGCCCCGGCTAGGGCAGAAAGGGAGGTTCAGAGAGGCTGAGTGGCCTGCCCAAAGCTACACAGCTGGTAACACAGTGCTGGGACCAGATGCCAGGTCTTGCCATTCCAAGCCCAGGGCTCTATAGCCTGCACCCTAGTATGAATGAGATACGAGGTCAGAGATCCACTAGAAAGTGGCAGGCATGACGATTAGGGTCTGGCTCTTCTAAGCAGAAGAGGGTCAGGAAATCACACTGGAAGGTGGACTGTCATAAAGGGGACCTTCTTGCTGGTGACTGTGAGTCTCTTTTCCCACAAAGGAGCCTGAGTCATGCTCCTCCTTTCTACCCCAGGCAGGCTCTCTGTAGACTGTTTCCTCTACTGGAATGTCCTGCCCCGACCAGGAGGAGCATATGTTGTTTTCTGTCATGTACAGGTTATCCCCCCTCTGTGGCAGCAGCTGTCTGATTCCTTCAGGGGAATCTTCTACTCCTTGGTTAGTCTACGCACATTCTACTCCAGTCCCTAGGGTGGCCCTGACTGGTCCAGCCACTGGCCTAAGATGAACCAATGAGACTTTTGCTTAAAGGGTTGGGGGTGTTCTTTTTCCTGAAGCCACTGAGCTGACCTGTGGGATACAGCTTGGAGCTGCGACCACCTCTGAATCACCCATCACCCTGCTTGGGCACGAAGAACGTGGAGAACTGGAGGAAGGCAGGTCCTCACTGACACTTTTGCTCCTAGATCCAGCCACACCTGAAGCCAAGAACTCTTAGATGTCTCAGTTACATTCAGCTAATCAATGTTCTTTTTGAGCAATCCATTTTGACTGGGTTTCTGTCATCTGCAACTAAAACAGTACTGACTAAACCAAGATCTCACAGCTAGTAAGTGGCAGCATTTGGATGGAAGCCCAGGATCGTAACCACTCTATTAAACTGGCACCGTCTCTTCCTCTAATCTTTACACCAGTTCCCAGCAGCGACCCACACCCATCAATAATCCCAACAGCTGACATTTGTTCGGGGCTCGACAGCCCAGAAACTGCTCACACATATCATCACTTTTTAAAAAAAAAAAAGCAATTGAGATATACCTCAAATACCATAAAATTCACCCTTTTAAAGTGTACAATCCAGTGGTTTTTAGTATATTCACAAGGCTGTGCAAACATGATCATCAATTCCAGAACATTTTCATCACCCCTAAAAGATACCCAGTACTGACAAAGAGCCTCTTTCCCTTTCCCCCTCCTCCCAGCTCCTGGCAATCACTAATCTGCTGTCTCTGTGCTCCACCCCTTCTGGACACACATCACCTCTCTTAAGACCACATAAACCTTGTGAAGGAGCCACTAGAGAGAGGGCACTAGAAGCACAGTGGCTAAGAGTGTGGTATCTGGTATCACCCGCCTAGTTTTAAATCCAAGTTCTAATATTCACTAGCTGTGTGACCTTGTGCAAATGACTTAACTTCTCTGAGCCTAAGATTCTTCATCTATGTAATTTAATAAGTTTAACATGAGGATTAAAGAAGTTAATATATTGAGATGCTGAGCAGTCAGCGGTCCAGAAATGCTGTTTCTATTGTCATTACCTCACGTTCCTGATGAGGATAGTCAGGCAACAAAGGGGTTAAGGGGTGTGCCAAAGGCGACACAGCACAGGTGGCTGGGCCCCAAGTCTCCTGACTGAGTCCTCTGCGTTTTCCATTACGCCACACTGGCCTAGTTGTTCCTCCACGAAAGCTTGGCCCTCCCCATACTCTTCTGTGCCAAGATACTTTTGTAAGAGCCGAGGCTACTCGCCAGACAGGAGGAAGGGGAGGGTGGGATCATGAAATCATCTTACTTCAGGGGGTCACAGCCCCATACGGGCGGGCCTCCCTGACTCGTCCTTGGGAACAGCTGACTTTGGCTGGTGGGGTCTGCCCTACTCTCTGCCAGATACTCCCTCTGGGATGTGGGGGGTGGGCAGCCGGCCATTTCTAGGACAGCAGGACCCTCTGGAATTCAGTGACTTTCCAACTCCAGCCACCCATCTGGGACTCTTTAAGGCTGGCTGAACCACTGCCTTTAGACTAGCAGGGAGGGGAGCCTGAGGCAGCTGTTTCTGTGATAGCAAACCCCCAATTATTGCCCATTATGCTGAGTGGGGAAGAAAACCGCACTTTTAAGTTCTGGTAGAAATAAGAAAGTTAAGTCAGAACAGGAGAGTTGAGGGAGGACAGGCTTTGGGCCAGGGAGACTCGTGATCACGCGCTGGCTCAAGCCATTCCAAATGATGTCACCTCGGGCAAGTCTCATCTGAACAGAGGGACAGCTAATGACATCTAATGTGCTTACTGAGTGAGGCACACCTCAATTAACTGTCACCATGAATGCACGAGAAACTGTTTTCACTTTTAACATGCAGATGGGGAGACTGAGTCTCAGAAACACACAGAGGGGATACCAAGCAGAGATCTGAAAGGCAAGCTGAGGTTTGAACCCAGTCTGTCTAGGTCTAAAGCCCTGGATATGCTGCCTCATGGGCTGCAGAATAGCAATTAACATTTCCATATGTGCTTCCAGAAGCTTCTCCCCACCCCGTCCTCGTCCAACCTCCTCCTCCAGATGACGCTATACCAAACGCCCCGACCTCTCTGGCCACAAGCCAACAGGCTCGGAGGTGGACCCAGCACCCTTGGGACAATTAGATTCTCTCCTCTGGAGACTGGACCCAGCACCTAGAAACGCCGGTGTGTTGACGACAGGGAAGGACATTTCAACTTGGGGACTGCGGTGCTGTCCGGGGGATACAGGCTAATGGGTCCGGGGAGGAAGCTGGTCCGGAGAGGCTAGCAGGAAAACAAAGTAGGCTCAGTGGGAGACCCTGGGGCCACAGTGATAGACGGCTGGGGAGCTGCTGGGCCTCTGAGGGCCATTCAGTTGCTAGTTCCGTGGCCCCCATGAGGCCGGCTGCCTTTCCTGCTCTGGGCTCCGTGGGGCACAGCTGCCTCCTCCCATAAATCTCCCCTCCCCCTCTCTTCCTGCGTAAGCTGCTCAGCTGGTGTTTGCTGTGTGATGTCCATAATCTGCAGGCTAGCAATCCTGACTGTAGCAGTTTCACTGTTCTCTGCCCCCTGTTATCCTTCTGGAGGTAACAGGTAGGCAAGAGGCTTCTGGAAGCAAAATATAGGCAGTCCTCCCTACACAGACATGCCGTGTGTGAAAAGTCAGTCTAGTAACTTGTAGAAGTGTTTACTCAACAATCAATCTCTGAACTGAAGACCCGCTGTAATAGCTCTGCACAGAGGTAAGAGGGGAAGAGGGCATCTAGGTAAGAGGGTGTCTTGGTCATTCTCAGACAGGGCTATACCTCCTGTTCATGGCATTTAAGGGCACTGGGATTCTTCTTCCTTGCCTTTCCCCTAGGGTTCAGCCCCTTCCTGGCCCCTAAGCTGCTCCTGCTAAGTCTGTTTTAGATAGTATCTTAGCATCTTTTAACATACAGCCTTTCTGTGTATGTACATGCTTGCTGTGGACCAGAAGGAAAATGTAATTTACATATGGTACTGTTTGACTTTGTTGCGTTTTGTGAACACAGAATACCACTCACAAGTTCAGCGCATTTTAATGACTAGGTAACTGGTGTTTCAGTCAGTTCCCCTTACGCAGTACCTCTTGGCAGCTGGTTCCGCAGGCGCTTGAGATTGTTTTACTGATATCGGGGAAACTGGTTAAGAGCACATTATTATCTCACCTCCCCCTTTAAAATAAGGAAATACAGATTCTGGAAATTCTTTATCCAGCATTTTTAGGAATGAATTAGGTCCCTATGAACAAGGCTGCCTGTGGTTAATACCACCCAAGCTTCCAAGAGAACATGTGAGGCCAAGACATGGAATGGTATGCAGAGGACACTGTGTTCACTGGGACTTCTGGGAAGTGACCTTTCACTCCTTCCCGTTGAGTGTAAGCCCAGAGCATTTTGTAACCCCGTGGGATCTGAGGATAAAGCCAATACCGTGAATGTAGGAATGCAGGATGAGTGGAAGGAGCTGGGTGCAGTAGTACTGTGAAAAACCTGGATCAAGCTATGCCTGAAGCCAGGAAGATTTTTCCCCTCCTGGGATAGTCAAGCGTGTGTTCCACAGTTTTGTGTCATTCTTGCACAAGGATCATGTTAATTTCTACATCATTCTGATTTCAGTACCCGGGCTGCTAAAGTGAGCACACGGACATTTTCAAATCTAAGAAATAAAAAAGAATACTATGTGTCTGCTACAGATGAGGGTCTAGGTTCTGATGTCAAAATGGAAAGTTAGCCCAATTAAACTTCTTCCTACATCACAGCTCACCAAATCCTTACCTGGAGGTCAAAGAACTTGCTGTAGCGCCGGTAAATGGCCTCTGTGGAGCCGCTGGACCAGGTAACCCGGATGATATAGACCTACAGAGGGGGACAGAGGAGACGGGCATTAACACCAAGGGAGACCTCCATCTCCAGGGCTCTGGAGCAAGACAAAGGGTTGAGTCAGAAAGACCTGGGTACCAGCCGAATGGCTTTGGACAAGTCAATCACTCTCTCTGGGCCTCAGTGTCCTCCCCAATAATGTGGGTATAACCGCCACCTCTGAGAGCTATGCAAAGGATTAAGTGAAATCAAGAATGGGAAAGCATTAGCACCCAGCTCATCTCAGGAGATGGTGTTCTTTACAGCACTGTAGAGATTTCTTGCTTTCCACTCAATCCAGAGAGCCCCGGGGCTGGCTCTTTTTCCAGTCATTCTTAGAACTCTGCCTTGTGTCAGAAGCCACTGAGACCAGCGGCTCTTGGGCCGCTTCTACTTTTCATAAGCGAAGCCACCATGCCACTTCACCAAGCAGGCCATGGGCCAGGTCCCTTCTCTCTCCAAGTGCCAGTTTCTGCATCTGTGAATTGGGCTGACGGCACCTGGTTCACATGACAGTGTGAGGATTTCACATGGCTGAGAACAGTGAAGCACTTTATAAGCAACGGGCCATGTTTCCAGCCTTTGTCACAGGTCACGGCCCACAGAGAACACAATGGACGATGACAAATTTGGGCAAAGTGAGGTGGCAGGAGGTCAGAGGCAGGGTCTAGTGACCCTGCACACCACCTGGACACTGGGGATAAGAAATCAGCACGTGTATAACCCTTTCCTGACTTGCACAAACGATCTGTGGTTGCAGGGTAGTTGACAATGAAAGAGTATGTATGTGAAAGCTCTCTGGAGGGGCGCCTGGGTGGCTCAGTGGGTTAAAGCCTCTGCCTTTGGCTCAGGTCATGGTCGCAGGGTCATGGGATCGAGCCCTGCATCGGGCTCTCTGCTCGGCAGGGAGCCTGCTTCCCTCTCTCTCTCTGCCTACTTGTGATTTCTGTCTGTCAAATAAATAAATAAAACGTAAAAAAAAAAAAAAACCTCTCTGGAAACGCAGAAATGCTGTATAAACATGAGGGGCTCAGTGTTGTCAGAGGCCATGAGCTGAGGGTTGGCTGGAAGGACAGGGGCATACATACATGAAGAAAACCTCCTTCCCCACAGCTCCTTAGATACAGAGGTGGGTGCCATTCATTATCCACGGTGATTGGTTGAGAAATGAGCATGTGACCTGTGCTGAACCAATCAGAGCCAGTAAGAGTCAGCTCTGGGGCTTTTGCTCCAACCCCTGAGAAAGTCAAGCTAAGTGGCTGGGCTATTAGGACCGGGACCGGAGCTGCTGGGGGATCATCTCATCACTGCTTGGAAGGAGCTTGCCTGAGAAGGAGGCCAGCATCAGTAGATTCCTGTAACACGGTCTGACCCTGAGATCCAGCTCTGCCTGCAGCTCAATCTACTCCTGGTCTGTCACGTTTCCCGAGCCAGTACATCTTGGGCCGAACCTGCCTTCTCAAATTATTCTTGAAGCCAGCTTACGTTGGGTTTCTGACACATGTACTCTGGTCCTGACTGCTGCGGGATGGGAGGTAGGAGAGAGCTCTCTGAAGCCTAGGGTCATCGTGGTACACTTCAAAGGACCTGGAAACTTCATCAGGAAACTTTCCACAAAGTTGTTCCACAAAGTGGAACAACTCTGTGGGGGCTGGGGCCAGAGACCAGGGTGACGGTCAGGGACTTGCAGAAAAAGGTTCTCCAGGTGAGAAGAGATGAATAAGGGGAAGATAATTCTGGCTAAGATGGGAAGTGCCCTTGAGTGCCAAGCTAAGTCCACCAGGAATGACCTCTCCAAATCCAACATGCATTTTACTTCCGAGAAGCGTGACAGAGAGGAAGAAACGTGGACTCTAGAGTCAAGAAGCTCTAGACTCACACAATTTCCTAACCCTCAAAGCCACAGCTTCCTTAACTGTAAAATGGGGTCAGCAAGTCCATCTCACACAGAGTTGTAAAGATTATTAGAGGCCAAGCTCTGAGTTCTTTGCCTGGCAGAAAGGAAAAGATCAAGAACTTTCAGTATCCTGCACTGATTCTCCAATGCCTGCCCCACCCCCGTTCATCCAAACAGGCTAATTTAACGTCAGGGATTTGGGCATCTCAGCCCACCCCCTGCCCTTGTTTGTGCTCCCCGGTCCTGGGGCCCTCCTGGAGCCAGAGAACAGGTCAAGGCATCCTTTGGGAATCACCTTGGAAAAGTGTTTTTCTGACAAAAAAAAAGAACTCTATCTCTAAAGCCACCTGAGTAGTTATCAGTTTTATTAAAAAGACTTCAATTCTGCTTCAGCAAGACTCCGGCACAGGGATTTTGAATGGCTCCCATCTGTCATTCATTCATTCACTGTACAACATTTATTAAGTACCTGTTGTGTGCCAGGCACCTTGCTGGGTGCTGGGACACAATGAGGAGCAAAAGCGAACTAGACCTTGCCCTTGGAGATGGGAAGATGGGCAACAGACCAGCAGACAAGCAAGTATGTACGTAACTGGAAGTTACATTCAGTGCTTAGGAAGGCCCCCAGCGTCTGCTGTGAGCACGAGATGGGGGAAGGTGGGGCATGTCCTTGGAAGGGAAGGCCTATCCGAGGAAGCAAGCACTGAGCCAAGACCTGAAGGACGAGGAGCTGGCCAGAAGAGTGGAGAACAGCGTATTCAGGCAGAGAAAGGACGAGTAAGGATATGGAGGCCAGGAAAGGCCGGACATGTCTGAGGTGCAGGAAGACTGTCACGGCAAGCAGAGCTGGGGGAGGAGGGAGGCAGGGGCTGGGAGGCAGGCAGCGGTGGCATTACGAGGGGCTTGCAGGCCACGGGGAGGAGATGGGATTTTGTTCTATTAAAGAGTTTCAAGGGGTAAGGGTGTGTGGCATGATTTAATGTATGTGTTTAAAATTTTTTCCTATATATCCTTCTGGCCACTGTATGAAAAATGGTTTGACGAGGAGCAGGGACACCACTCAGGAGGCTTTTCCATCACTGAAAGGGACTCAGTTAATCCAATGGCCCCAACTTCTGGATGGGTAAATTGAGGCCCAGAGAGGACCATACTAACAGTCCTGTCACTGGGGGATGCTTACACGAAGTCTGGATAACTATTTGTCAAGAATAATGTTAACATGGATTAAAAGACAAAGGGAAAAAAAAAACCTGATCATCAAAGTGTCATTGTTTTCCTAAAGCCAACAAAAAAAGCGTTCCCATAAATGGAAAACAAAATCCTGCTTACACAATTCATTCTAGATCTCTTGTTTATAGTTTTTAAAGTTCTGTACATATGGTACAAGGACTCTGCAGCAGTCCTAATTGGTTTATTGGAATCAAGCTCTGAACACAATTTGGTGCCTGCATTTTTAGGCACAGATCTAACTTTTAATGAGAATTGTCCCAAAGCAGGGCTTTGGCCTTCCCCAGGGTTTAGGGGCGGGTGAAAGGGCACACCCACCGGGTTCTGACACCCGCCCTGCTGCTGGGGGAGACTCAGAGGCACCAAACTCTCTGGCCACAGTGTTCTTGTCTCTAAAACAGGGTGAGTAATTTCCCTTGAGGATTCTCTGCAATCACTGATGCACGTGGGGCCTTGCCCAACGCCTGGCGCACAAGAGGTATGCACAGCCAGTTCCTCCTGCAGAGGAGCTGATCAATATGCCTGCTTTTCTGGTATTCCCTTTCTTGTCTTGGTGACAGTGCCTAATTTCCTTTGGAATGTCATCCCTCTCCCTTCCCTAGTCTTTGTGATAGGAAGTGATGTTGCGCCTCTGGCCAACCAGACTGTTGCCTGTCCCTGGCCACAACAATGGGTCAGGGACCGGCACATGACCCAAGCCAGGCCAATGAGACTCAACTCTGGGACTTTTGATGGCATGGTCAGGGAAGAGCCTCCTTTCCCCACCGCGATGGCTGACTGGGGGGAGAACTGTGTAGAAAGCATCTGTCACACAGAAGCAAGCAGTCAAGAGGGAGAGAAAGAACACGAGTCCTGTGACATCATTTGGACCCCTAGATCCAGAATCCTGGACATTTCATGGCCCCAAGTCAAAACCTTCCCTCTCTGGTTTAAGCCAGTTTTAGTGTCTGTTACTTGCCACCAAAGCAGTCTGAACACATCTGACCTTGACTTTTTTTTTTTTAATTTTTAAAAAGATTTATTTATTTATTTGTCAGGGAGAGAAATAGAGAGCACATAAGCAGCAGGAGCAGCAGGCAGAGGGAAAAGCAGACTCCCAGCTAAGCAGGGAGGCTGATGTGGGGCTCCATCCCAGGACCCCAAGATCACGACCTGAGCCGAAGGCAGATGCTTAACGACTGAGCCGCCCAGGAGTCCTAGGGTGAATGTACTTAATGACACTGACCTGAACACTTAAAAATGGCTGCAATGGTAACACTTATGTTACCATATATATATGTTACATATATTTTATCACATTTAAAAGAACTTTAAAGAAAAGTAGATTTCCTGCAGAGGTCTCTGTAGTCCATGCCATGTTACCCTGGAAATGACACTGAACCTTTCTCCATGGAATAGCCCTCAAAACATGTGTATGTCCAAGGAAAATTTATGTACAGAATGTATTTAAAAAAAAAAAAGACTTAAAACTCAACAGTAAGGAAACAACCAACATGATCACAAGATGGACAAGAGATCTGAACAGACCCTTCATCAAAAAGGATACACAGATGGCAAATAAGTACACGAGATGTTCTACATCATTAGCCATTAGAGAAAGACAGACTGAAACCACAATGAGGTATCACCGTGCATCTATTAGAATGGCTGGAATAAACAATATCGACAAACCAACAAAAACTGGTGCTGACCAAAATGTGTTGTCTCCGGAACTCTTAGCCATTGGTGTGAAAACAAGATGGCACCGCACCCCCTGGAGGGATGCGGAACTACTGGGTGAAAGGTCATTGATAAGGAGAGCCACCCCGTGTGAGAGTATCACCCCATGGATTACTTCCTCAGCAAAGGAAAAAATGCACCTTTTCAATGCAGA